GGTATGCACTATGTAACCAGTGAGATTACAATGTAATAAGGGAGTAAGTGGCAGGAGATAGGGCAGATAGAGAGGTAGGAAAAGGCTACTCTGCTAATGGCTTTAGAGGTCACAGTAAGAAGTTTGGGTTTTATTCTAAATGCAAAGCCATTACAATGTTACAATTTTTTCTAGGTTGGTCAGACCATGCCCATGGTTCCTCCTCTCGACTTAACTATGAATGCTGCATCTGTTGAATGAATGCAGTTTCTGCTGTTGCTTTCCTTTTTGTATAAAAATTGATTGCAATATCTTATCAAAATAATGAAAAAAATTACGTTTCAATTCCTTTTCCACCCTATTGAGTCTGAGGGGCAGCTGTATATTAAATAAAACTATGTATCATAATTTCATTTTTTCCATCAAAAGAGCTTTGAAGGAAATTCCCTTTTCTCCATGTTTTGCAATATTTTTTGTTCCTTTTGTTAAAATCAGATTAATCTCATCAAACATCTAAAGCATTTAAGTCAATCTAAGAGCTAGGAAAATATTACGCTGCTAGTTCTGAAACAATCTTTAGTGTGAATCAGGTGATCGCCAAATACAGAAACAACTGAAAAATGTGAATGAAAGAAGTATGTACCTATGTTATAGTGTGAAATATTATACTATAAGCTTTAAAATGATAAATTTGAAACTTTTCAAAAGTGGTCTGAATATGGGTCATTTCTTTAGCAACTCAGCCAAACATGCTAACATTTTCTCGATCCTTCCCCATTAATTTATTCTACTAGCCCTTCCTACGTTTGCCAAGTGGCTCTATTACTGAAATCAGCCCAATTGTCCCATAGAATCGATGTTTACAGTCTTTTAAAATAAACATAGATATTGACCCTTCCAGTTTTAAATCTTGAAAATTATATTTGTCTTAACTGAGTTCCTTCCTCAGGAAAATAACCCTCATGCCTCACAGATAGTTTCAAGAAACTTGAAACCAAATCACCGTATCTAGACAATGAGAAGCCAGGCCCCTCATCCTTCATGATTTCCTTACTTCTCCCTAATTCCTGTTTACCCACATGTAGTTACATTCCTTTCCCACTATATAAACCCCCAATTTTAGTGAGTCAGAGAGATGGAATGACTACTTTCCTGGCAATAGTCATCATCTCGGTGATTGGCTTTCTGTGCAGGGAGCAATGGGACCGAGACTGAACCCCTGACATTTTGGTAACATTATCTGGTTGGGAGGTGGGATGTCACTGCATTCAGGAGCTTTCATTTACTTTACCTCTCTGGTCTCCAATAATTCAAGCACAGTAAGTCTCATAGTCCTATTGCTGAATTTTCTATTTTTCTTTACAACATTCTTTTTGATAAATAGTACTTTTGCATTTCTAAAGATATCTATTCAACTCACAGAAATGTCAATAAACCCCAATCTGATGTGGGTGAAATTTTCTCTCTTCTAAAACAATTCCCACTGGTTCATTTTTTTTTTTCTTTTTCTTGCAAGCTGGTTGTACTCTCTCTAGGTAGAATCTTACCACCAAACAGAATGACTACCGAAAGGCATGGTGTATAACTATCTTTAATATATGCAATAAGGCAGAATTAAAATGCTATTAACATCACACAGAATCAGAACTTCAGTGTTAGAAAAGGCCTTAAGGATCATCTTGTACAACCACCTATCTTTTGTGTTGACAACCAGAGTTTCTGGACTGAAGTCAACATTTTTTTTAAAAGCTAGAGATAGAAAAAGAAACTGCAATAAAACATGTCAAAACAACTGCAAAAGAAATGGTCCCATTCTAGTTAACATTAAAAAAATTCCTTATGCAAATTAAAACCATACAATTAATTTTTGTAGGGAACAAACAAATTGTGTTAGACTGTCTATAATCAAAGAGATTAAAGATAGTAAGTGCTAGTGAAGGTATGGAGAAATGGGAACCCTTGTATACTATTGATGGGAATGTAAATTCATAGTACAGCCATTTTGGAAGACACTATGGAGGTTCCTTAAGAAACTAAAAATAGAATTACCATATGATGCAGCAATCTCACTTCTGGGTATATATTCAAGGGAACTGAAATCAGTATGATGAAGAGATGTCTGCACTCCCATGTTCATTGCACCATTATTCACAGAAGCTAAGATGCAGAATCAAAGTGTCCATCAACCAATGAATGGATTAAAATATGTGGTATATATATACAACAAATATTATTCAGCCTTAAAAAAGAATGAAATTCAGGCCGAGGGCAGTGGCTAATGCCTGTAATCCCAGCACTTTGGGAGGCCAAAGTGGGTGGATCACTTGAGGTCAGGAGTTCAAGACCAGCCTGGCCAATGTGGCGAACCCCTGTCTTTACTAAAAATACAAAAAAAAAAAAAAAAAAAAAAAAAAAAAAAAAAAAAAATTCTTGTACTACTTGTTTTGGAAAAATAACAATAATAAAAAAAATTAGCCAGGTGTGGTGGCATATGCCTGCAGCCCCAGCTACTTGGGAGGCTAAGGCAGGAGAATCGCTTGAATCCGGGAGGCAGAGGTTGAAGTCAGCTGAGATCACGCCACTGCACTCTAGCGTGGGGACACAGCAAGAATCCATCTCAAAAAAAAAAAAAAAAGAGTAGAATGGTGGTTACCACCAGAGGCTGGATGCGGCAGTGGATGGGAAAAGGGGAAATATTAGTCAAAGGATACAAAGTTTCAGTTAGACAGGAGGAATAAGTTCTGGTGATGTATTGAACAACAATGTGACTACAATTAATAGAAATTAATTTTATCTTTCAAAGATACCAAAGAGGTTTGGTATCTTTCAAAATTGCTAAGTGGATTATTTATTTATTTATTTATTTATTTATTTTGAGATGGCGTTTCGCTCTTGTTACCCAGGCTGGAGTGCAATGGCGCGATCTTGGCTCACCGCAACCTCCACCTCCTGGGTTCAGGCAATTCTCCTGCCTCAGCCTCCCGAGTAGCTGGGATTACAGGCACGCCCCACCATGCCCAGCTAATTTTTTGTATTTTTAGTAGAGACGGGGTTTCACCATGTTGACCAGGATGGTCTCGATCTCTTGACCTTGTGATCCGCCCGCCTCGGCCTCCCAAAGTGCTGGGATTACAGGCTTGAGCCACCGCGCCCGGCCTATTTATTTATTTTTGAGAGAGTCTCGCTGTGTGCACGATCTCGGCTCACTGAAACCTCCACCTCCCGGGTTCAAGAGATTCTCCTGCCTCAGCTGGGACTACAGGCACACACCACCACGCCCAGCAAATTTTTGTATTTTTAGTAGAGACATGGTTTCACCATGTTGGCCAGGATGGTCTCGATCTCTTGACCTCGTGATCAAGCCCCCTTGGCCTCCCAAAGTGCTGGGATTACAGGCGTCAGCCACAGCGCCCGGCCTAAAAGTTAACTTTTTTTTTTTTTTTTGAGACGGAGTTTCGCTCTTGTTACCCAGGCTGGAGTGCAATGGCGCGATCTCGGCTCACCGCAACCTCCGCCTCCTGGGTTCAGGCAATTCTCCTGCCTCAGCCTCCTCAGTAGCTGGGATTACAGGCACGCGCCACCATGCCCAGCTAACTTTTTGTATTTTTAGTAGAGACAGGGTTTCACCTTGTTGACCAGATGGTCTCGATCTCTTGACCTCGTGATCCACCCGCGTCGGCCTCCCAAAGTGCTGGGATTACAGGCTTGAGCCACCGCGCCCAGCCTTAAAAGTTAACTTAAAATTTTCTCACCACAAAGAAGTATGTATATAATTTGATAGATACGTTAATAGCATGGTTTCGTCATTCCGCAATGGATACATGTTTTAAAACATCACATTGTATGCCATAAATACATAGTATCATCAACCAAAAATAAAAGTAACACTTAAAAATGAGGTAGCTGCCTTCCAGCAACCGTACCCATAGGGCGTATAAATAATCCCAATGCATTTTAGTAACTAGTATAATGATATTCTGTTTCAATGTGTTTTAGGACCACCAAGGGAGGGAGCGAGTGAGGTTACACCTTCAGAAGCAGATGAGCCGGTTTCAACAATGCTAAAGAATTACTCAAGTGATGACCGCGTGAGTACTCTAACCTTAGGGACCAGTGTGAACTTCTCTTACACCTAAGAGAAGAGGGAGATGAAACTGCAGAAAGATGTTTAAGAGAGGTCACAGCAATGAATGCTTCTAATAGTGAATCTCTACGTTAGCTGCATATTAGAATCACCTTGGGAAAGTTCAGAAAGTCCCCAAACCCAGACCTCGCGCCAGATCAATTAAATATGAACCTATTGGGGTGGAACCCATAGGCCCAAGTATTTTTTTTTAAAAAAGCTCCTCAGGTAATTCCAAAGTGCAGCTAAGGTTGAGAATCGCTGTTTTAAAGCAGATGCAAAAAATTAAATGTGGATTTGACGTGGGGGGAAGTGGTGGTAGGGATGGACGAACTGAAAAGCCCTTCGGATTAGAGCGGTGACTGCCAGAGTAAGGACAAAAAGTGCATGAAACCCCATAGCAGGGGATTCAAGGACCGTTTTTGTATGGGACTGACAGGATTTGGGGGACGGTGACGACCTCAGCATACACCGGACTCTATTAAAAAGTTCAGTTATTCTGCCAGCGGCCCTGTCCCTACCCGCAATCATATTTTCTTGCACGTCTTCCCACAGTTAAAAAAAAAAAAAAAAAAAAAGGCGAAAACGTTCTCCCACGTAACGCGCCGTGGACGTGTATGGGAGGAGCAAAGGCCTGAGACTCACAAGCGCGCGGCCGCTACCATTTCTTCGCTATTCCAGATCCAGAATTCACGATCATCTAGAGGAGGCTCCCCCCGCTGTGTGTTTGTGCCCCAGTTAGGGAGCGATGGACGATTTCTCTAGGCAAATTGTCGCCCTTACAACGCCAGAAGGCAGAGGCTGGAGTGAAAGCGGCGGGGGGTAAGGGCGGGGCACCTGCTTACGTGCCCGCTGACGACTCCGGCTCCGCCCTCATCCCGGTTTCCGGCGGCGCGCGGTTCCCTTTTCCGCTTTCCCGCGCGCGCACCGGTACCGCCTCACTCCCACGCGCCCCCCAGCGCTGCCGCGCTAGACAGCGGAGAGAACAGATACTGAGCTGTCGAAAAGGTCCACTGCAGATCCCCCTTCCGCTCTGCCGAAAGACTTCCGCTTCGGCCGGTCAGCATGTACGTTGCGGCTGTCTGGCGAAGCTGCTGCTGAGCATTTGCGGACGCGCAGCTTCCCCTCTGCGGGGCCGCCCTGCTTCCCCCGGTTCCCCGCCTCCCCCCGCCCCTCGCTCCCGTCCCTGGGGTCGGCGGACTTCTCGCTACATGGGGGCGGGCTTCCGCGGTCAGCGCACGGTTTCCTGTTCTGAGGCTGCCTGGCGGTAGGCGGTGGTGACTCTGCCCGCGCCGGCTTCGGCGCGGTGACCGAGCGCCTGGGAGGCTTGAGGACCGTATCCTGTGCCGTTGAGCCAAGCCCGGTCCTGCGCCGCCATGGCCCCAGTGCAGCTGGAGAACCACCAGCTGGTCCCGCCCGGAGGCGGCGGTGGGAGCAGTGGCGGACCCCAGTCTGCCCCAGCCCCTCCTCCCCCGGGAGCCGCCGTGGCGGCGGCTGCTGCAGCTGCGGCTAGCCCGGGCTACCGGCTGAGCACCCTCATTGAATTTCTGCTTCACCGGGCCTACTCGGAGCTTATGGTGTTGACGGACCTGTAAGTGCCCCGAAACCCCTGCCTGTTCCCCAGCCCCCCTTCCCGCCCAACCGGCCGAGACGTTTGCACCTCCCTCTCTCCAGAGGCTGCTGTGTTCTCCGCTGGACTGCTTAGTCTAGAATTTCTGAACTCGTGGGGTTCGGCGGAGGTGGAGAAACAGCTTTGTATCTGGGGTCTTCCTGACAACGGTGTATTCGAGACTTGTTAATTTTGCGTGTTGTTACACTTCCCCTGAAAATCGTAGGAAATTTTTGTCCCGAGTTCCCAACAGAACTCTTGATTTCTTGGCTGGAATACGTAATATTCCAGCTTTTAGAAAAAACTCCATAGACGGGAAATCTGTGTTACAGTCTCTTGACGATACGTTTTAAATAAAAGCTGTAATTTCTTCTAAGTTGATGCAGGAGCTCTATTGTGTATAAAGTACAAATTTGGATTCAGAGTACTTTTTTCTGCAGCTTTTGAGTGTTTGAGGTCTTAATGAAGTTAGTGTGAGTAGAATATCTTTTAGTAACTAGTCTGTTATTTCTTGGAGTATGAAGGGGGTTTATAAATCACCTAGTTATCCATGAAATGCCTTGGGGCATGATTAAGTTGTTAATCCCTTCAAAATCGGATCAGAATATACTAATGAATTTCAGTGTGTGAAGAAAAGGCACCATAACATTTTGAGACTCGGTTGTACATCTTATAACCCTGGTTCAGAAAAAGTTAATCAGAATTTTATTTTTTCATCTGTTGCAAGACTTCAGATCAGGGTTATCAATTGAGATATATTAGTATGCAGATATTAGGCTGTTAAGCATCAAAGTAATTTGTTTTTAGAGACTGATAACAGATACTTGTTTGACGATGACTAGAAGGATAGGTTCCACTTACTCCTATAAACATCATTCTGAGTTTTGGTGTACTGTACTTTTTTGAATGGGACCGAAAAAAGAAGTTAAAGAAGCCTACCCATGGCTAATGAGAAATTTAAATAGCTGTCTGGGATTAGGGACTATCGTTAGTGATTTACTTCTCTATACCATTTATTATTGGAGTCCATAAAAATCCAAGAATATTATCCACGAGAAAGTTTCATGTATGTGAAGGTCACCTGTCCTGTATAGAGCTACGGAAAAAAAATGTTGAAAACTGCTGCTGTCAGTGGTATAATTTGCTTTTCCATAGGGGATTTGTAGAAATTCTTTGAATTGTGATTTTTTTTGTTGTTTTGTTTTTTACTATTTTAGGACTTGGTTTATGAAGAGAGGAACATCTGTTTTATTGCCATAGAATAAGTATGTAGTTGTAGTCCCACACCCTTTATATGATGATGATTCCCATATTTGTATTTCCAGCACAGACCTCTCTGATGAACTCCAGACTCTATATCCAGATGCCTACATTTCAGTATCTAATGGGCATTTCAACATAGCAAGTCCGGGACCTAACTCCTGATTCCATTGTCCTCCCTCCTACAAAACCTTCTTTGCTATCTCACTAAAGAGTATCTCCATTCTTCCTGTTGTTGCTCAGGCCAAAAATTTTGGAGTAATTCCTGGCCCCTGTTTCTTCACATCCCACATACATCGGCAGGTCCTGTCATCTTTGACTTTAGAATCTGACTATTTCTCAAGACTTCCACCAAGTGTCGGTCCAAGCCACCTAATCCTTTACCTGTGTACTGCAATAGTCAGCTGACTAGTATCTCAATAGTTCCCTTGCCCCTTCTACAGTTTATTCTCACAAAATAGCCAGCATAATTTTTTTAAAATGTCTCTGCTCAGAACCCTTCAGTGGTTCCCCATCTCACTTAGATTAAAAAGTTTTGATAATTGTCAGGTGTAGTGGCTCATGCCTGTAATCCCAGCACTTTGGGAGGCTGAGGAAGGGGGTCACCTGAGCCCAGGAGTTGGAGATAAGCCTGGGCAACATAGCGAGACAGGTAGGTACCACCACACCTGCTTAATTTTTGTGTTTTTAGTAGAGATGGGATTTCATCATGTTGACCAGGCTGGGCTGGAACTCCCCACCTCAGGTGATCTACCCGCCTTGGCCTCCCAAAGTGCTAGGATTACAGGCGTGAGCCACCGTGCCTGGCCTCCAAACCTTGATGTTTCTTGTTAGTACCTAGCACACTCCCATCTTTGAGCCTTTGCTCTTTCCCTAGAAATCTGAGTGTATTGCTTTCTCATTAGTCCTTTCGGTCCTCATTTACATACAATTTATCAGAAAGATTTTCTCTGACCACCTAAAAAATAGTACTCTGCCCCTTCACTCTATCCTTACTTGCTGCTTTTTCTTACAGCACTTATTGCCACTTGACATTATTAGTTTATTGTCTGTTCCACCCCATGAGGATAGAGATTTTGATTTGTTTGTGACTTTCCTTGGGGCCTAGAACAATGCCTGGTACACAGGGCTTAATTAAGTATTTATTGATTTCATACATGAATGAGTGAATTTTTGATACACAAGTATATTAAAAAACTTTTTTCAGCTGGACGCAGTGGCTAATGCCTGTAATCCCAGCACTTTGGGAGGCCGACGTGGGCGGATCACAAGGTCAGAAGTTTCAGCCAGCCTGGCCAGTGTGGTGAAACCTGTCTCTACCAAAAATATAAAAATTAGCTGGGCGTGGTGGCGGGCGCCTGTAGTCCCAGCTACTCAGGAGGCTGAGGCAGTAGAATCGCTTGAACCTGGGAGGCAGAGGTTGCAGTGAGCTGAGATCACACTGTTGCACTCCAGCCTGGGCGACAGAATGAGACTCCCTCTCAAAAAAAAGAACAAAACATAACTTTTTTCAACTTTGATCGTGGTAATTATTAATAAAATTAGTTTGAGAATTTACCATGGAAGTTCCTAAATAGAGTACTTTCCCTAGAAACTGTCAGGATTACTATGTTAATGTAGAGCCAGTGTTCTAGGTATACTTTGAGTCTTTAGGGAAACAGTTACTTATTTCAGTAACATTTGATGCTTGTCTGTGAACTAGTGAAGGTAAAAAGGACAGTGTTGGCAACTTAGGTGGTTTTGTTTTGGCCTCACATTTCTGGGTTTTTTCCTTCTGCTTGTCCACCTCCCTTCCTCCTCAACATACATACTCTCTTCCTAGAGTTTACTCTCTGCCTTGACTTTTTAGAGAACTAGGTTCTACTCTTTATTTATTTTTTTTTGAGACAGGGTCTTTCTCTGTCACCCAGGCTGGAGTGCAGTGGCACAATCATGGCTCACTGCAGCCTCGACTTACAGGGTTCAGATGATTCTTCCACTTCAGCTTCCCAGGTAGCTGGACTACTTGCCACTACACTTGGCTAATATGTATTATTTGTACAGATGCGGGTTACCATGTTGCCCAGGCTGGTCCCAAACTCCTGGACTCAAGCGATCTGCCCGCCTCAGCCTCCCAAAGTGCTGGGATTACAGGTGTGAGTGAGCCACCGCACCTGCCCCCACCTCCCTTTTTTAAATTAAAATCAGAAAATGCCAGGATCTCAGTCATGTAAACTTGTCTTATTGTGCTTTGGGATAAATAAGTTTCTATGCCTTACTTGCCAGCATTTGCATTTTAGGGCTTTTACCCTAAATGGTAGCTTTCTTATCCATAAAAGAATTTAAAATAGATTAGGAGGAATGGGGAAAAGGGGAGGCAGGCAGCAAAGCCTGTCTTTTATCCCTGATATGATACTACTTCTGACATGAGGTGGTCCTTTTGGGGTCTCTGAGGCAGGTAAAAGAAGCAGGAACAATGATTCCTGTTCTTTCTATCCCCAGAGACTCTACTCCTCCTCTCCCTCATAGGTCTTTCTCATTCTCCCTCCCTTGAGGTGAAGACAAGGACTCTGGCTTCTCAAGGAGTGTTCTCAGGAGGTTTGGCATGTAGAGGAACTTGCCAGTAGCTGCCTTTATTTGCAGTCTTCTAGCGGGGCCGTAATTTCTGCTTTATCGTTCGGTTCTGCTGGCTCTTCCAGCCACCACCTAGTTCCCTTTATCATTCTGAACATAACTTTAACTTCCATCTCACTGTCTACCCAAATAATACTTGTAACTATAAGCCAGAGCTCCTTTTAATATTTTCTCCTCCTTGTACTTTGAACCTCTGAAAGTAGTTTTAGTTTTTCTGTTCCTGTGGCACAAGGGTGGGAGACAATCTTCTTCGGCTGGGTGTGTATGCTTCAAGAACTGATTAGCTGTGGGAGAGGCTTGAGAGTTGCTTAGGCCATTAAATCTTGGACCGTGGGATAGAGGTTAACAGAATGTGGCAATTCGGGAGGCATTAAGGATCTTTCTAGGCATCAGTGGACGTGAGTGTTAAATGGTCTAGCTTATCAGGGAAGAAGTTGACATTGGTTGCTGGCTATCAGCTGGAGGACTAACAAAAAGAAATATAAAAATCCTATTAGAGCTGTTTAAAAGCAATAAAAATTTTTTCATCTAACCACCATGCAACATCAAAATTACTGTAAAACCCTTGATATACATTGGCCCTTTCGTATGCTTAACTTCTAATTTTGTCCACCATAACACAACGTGAAGGGATTATTGCTTGGAAACAGGTATCCATTGGATACAGGGAGGCTGGCAACCAAGTAGTAAGTACTTCTGCATCTGTGACCATTTTGGTCTTAAAATAATCTTTTCTCTGATACCCTATGATATCGTGTGCTAATGTGGAACTTGGGTTTTTTAAATATTCGAGGTTCATGCAATACGTTTTGAAGCATTTTGAATGGAGAGATTTTGAATGTTCTTTTCTTTTGTTGGTTTTTGCCTTACAGTCAAATCTAAAAAAGAGTAGGTAGCCATGTGAGCCTGTAGTAGCTGTTTACCCAGTTTTTCTGAAACATTAACATATTTAATAGAGTAAAAGTAAAGATTGTTAACACTTTAGAATGAAAGTGTGCATGTATTTAATGTTTCTTTTTTTTTTTTTTTTCTTCTTAGACTGCCAAGGAAATCTGATGTGGAAAGGTGAGTATGAAAAAACCTTAAAGTCTCTTTATTGATCAATCTATATGAGTGTTGGTATGTAGGTATGGGTGGTATAGGGCTATGGATTAGAAACAGGCCCGAAGAGTCTAGAATGATTTTTTACACCATGTGTTTCGGCAGTCCTGGGAAATGTAATTTCCTCACCCTTAACAATACTTGGCGTGGGACCAGTTCTAGATCTTATATTCTACAAACCTTTATTGAGTGACTGACCTGATCAAGTCCCTAAGGGTGATACTAAGACATAGAAGATACAGTCTGTAAAGGAAAGTGCTGAGGAGCAGCAGACAGGCTTTAGAAAGTTGGCTGCTAATTTATCACTTGCTACAATGATGCTATTAAGTACTTCAGAGAATTGATAGTTTCCTACTGCTCCTGCTGTTACATAGTTAACATTTTTGTTCAGTTGGAGGTTGGAGCTTAAGATTTAACACAAGGCTAGTATGTTTCCAGAGGCCAAAGGAACAAGCTACATTAAAGTTCCAAATAAATCATATGATGGAGATTTAAATTGTAACTACTATGTAGATTATTTGACCTTATCTTTGGCACTACTTAGGCTCCTTGGTTGGTTTTTTTGTTTTGTTTTGTTTTTTGTTTTTTAAGTACCAAGTCACTTGGCAACTTTTTAGCATTTTTTTTTTCTTTGAGATGGAGTTTTGCTCTTGTTACCCAGGCTGGAGTGCAATGGCGCAATCTCAGCTCACCACAGCCTCCGCCTCCTGGGTTCAAGCAATTCTCCTGCCTCAGCCTGGCGAGTAGCTGGGACTACAGGCGCAACTCTACTGCCAACCCCCGCTTACCTTCTGATCAAAGTAGACATGGATCAAAAAGGTAGAAGTGGAAGAGACAATTAAGGCAACCTGTGTTATGGTTTGGCCGGTCAGTATTAAAGGAGGAAAATGCTAAGTCAAGGATGTGTTCTGTCCAATCTCGAGTATGAAGGGAAACTGGGCCTTTGGAAAACTGACTTATGTTCCCTATCACTTGAGACAACATGGTGTCAGAAAACTGCATTACTATAGCTTACAAAGGGGGACATTTCCATTATAGTAGAGGACTGCATTTGGGCAACTGAATTAATAATAGACAAGTGTGTTTGCTCTGTGAGAGGAGCAGAGACCTTGCATCCTCTATAAGCCATTGCTGAGTTAGAGTGAAGAAGGTACTGAGGTTCCCATCCCTGAGATCTGCCGGATCTTAATGTGTGTTTAACATTTCTGCTGTGTTTCAGTCTGGTCTTATGATCTTTCATGGACACTGGCAAAGAGTCATAATTATGCCCTTGATTCTTCCCTTTATAGTACCACTAATCATATTGCTGGCTGATCTTTAAGAGCCTTTTAGGGTGCTTGTGGGCTATGTGTGCTCTCAGTAGGAGCCAGCCTCTGTAGCCTTCAGTCAGGATTGTACTTCAGCAAGAACTTTGGTGCATTGCGTCATGATGGTGGTATTGGCAAGATGTGGAGATTGGATCTGTAGGTCGTTGAACAGCTGTACTAAGATTAATAGGTCAGAGTCTACTTGGAGGGAGGTTGGTGTCCTGCTGAGTCCTGTCATCAGTCCTGGCTTGTTGAATATTTTTTTCAGCATCTTAAAGTAAACCATGAAAGATATAATTATCAGTTTTGTAGCTGCTGTGAAGTTGAGTGATCTAGCTAACATGTTGATTGACAACATAATTTAAGTAAAGCTTTTGGGGCTTTAGGATGAGATGATAAAAGTACTGATGAGTATTCAGGAAAAAGGAATAATAATAATAGTATAGGATAAAACTAGATATGAACAGACCTTTTATTTTTGGTACTCAACATAATTTCTTTAACTTTGCTTGGACATTTTTTAATATATACAAGTTTGTCGTTGAAATTAGTTTGGTAAAGAGTTACATACTTAAGTTCTTTAATTATTCAATCTTTAAAATCATGCTGGTCCAGGATGGGAAATGATGCCCTTTTGTAGAATGAATACAGTTTCAGGCTTTGGTAAAGATCAATTTCAATTATTTTCACTTACCAAAAGGGTTACTAATTACTTACTAATTAAATTACTCCTAATTTCAGTTATGAACTTATAATTCATAACTTCTCATTTGATACCTTCTGTGAGCCAGTTTACTTATACTGCCATATGCTAAATTTAGTACATTTTTGTAAACAACTTTTGTTACAATATAAAATTAATTTAAAAATGTGATTTATTGCTAAAACATTCTATTGGATTTATTGTTCTGAAGTGAAAACTAAAACATACAGATAGTGTACAAAATGTGACAATAGTTAATATTTAGTTAAATATTTTAGGTGGCTCATTTCATAGTGGTTGTAAGCAAAGGTTGATTTCCTCTCCCCGCCCCGCCCCCCCCCCCGTTTGAAATAAATTGTGAAATACCCTTCCTAATATGTTGGTTCATTAAGCGTTGTTTTATTTTATAGGAAAATAGAAATAGTGCAGTTTGCTAGCCGGACACGCCAACTCTTTGTTCGATTATTAGCTTTAGTGAAATGGGCTAATAATGCTGGCAAAGTGGAAAAATGTGCGGTGAGTTAAATTTTTTATTTTACTTTGTATAAAATAACTTTTTGAATGTTGTAATAGACATAGTTTTACATTTTAGCTTTAACTTATCCCTGCTGATTTGAGTGACGTGAACAATCATGTTTCTGTATGATAATATATATTTCTGTAGAAACTTAGTGTTTGTTTATGGACACCTGATCAGAAAGAAGAGTGGGAGATATCTGGAGACATCATTACATGAGGAGACTTTAAATATGAGACTGAGACTAAAGGGGAGAAATTGTTAGTTTATATTTGTACAATTCCTTAGAATTTGCAAGGTTCTCCATTAAATTTTGCTTATTAATTCTTGACAATCCTGTGAGAATGGCAGAGTTAGTATTTTTTTTTTCTAGTTTTTTAGATGACGAAATGATAAAGTCCCTAGAAGTTACATGGGTTCTTCAAGGTCACAGAGGCTGATAAAAGCATTTTTCTGTTTGTTTATCTATCTATAATTCTTCAAACTTCCACTGAGCACAGGGTATAATGGAGTCTTCAATAAGGAATAGTCCCTGCCTTCGAGAACCTTATAGTCTTTTACTGTTGAATCGCTCTTTGGAATGCAAAGTGACATGCAGTGCAGTGTACCAAAGATACTAAAATCTACCAAAAATAAAGTTTTATGCTATGTTTAAGAAGCATTAAGGAATAAAAAAGATTAAAAAAAACAAAGCATTAAGGAGTAAAAACTTGATTTTTTCTTTTTCAGATTGTTCACTGTTGGCATATAGAAATATTACTGATATCGCCGGGCGTGGTGGCTCATGCCTGTAATCCCAGCACTTTGGGAGGCCGAGGCGGGTGGATCACGAGGTCAAGAGATCAAGACCATCCTGGTCAACATGGTGAAACCCCGTCTCTACTAAAAATGCAAAAATTAGCTGGGCATGGTGGCGCACGCCTGTAATCCCAGCTACTCAGGAGGCTGAGGCAGGAGAATTGCTTGAATCCAGGAGGCGGAGGTTGCGGTGAGCCGAGATTGCGCCATTGCACTCCAGCCTGGGTAACAAGAACGAAACTCCATCTCAAAAAATAAGAAAAAGGAAATGTTACTGATATTTTGTATGTTGACTTTGTATCCTGTAACTTTACTGAATTTATCAGTTCTAATAGTTTTTTTGGTGGGGTCTTTAGGTTTTTCCAAATACAGGATTATATTATCTGCAAACAAGGATAATTTGACTTCTTCCCTTTCCAGTTTGGTTGCCCTTTATTTCTTTCTTTTGTCTGATTACTCTAGCTAGGACTTCCAGTACTATGTTGAATAATAGTGGTGAAAGTGGACATCCTTGTCATGTTCCAGATCTGAAAGGAAGGGCTTTCAGTTTTCCCCATTTAGCATGATATTAGCTGTGGGTCTGTCAAATATGGCTTTTATTATGTTGAGGTGTGTTCCTTCTATACCCAGTTTTTTGAGGGTTTTTATTGTGAAAGGATGATGAATGCTTTACATGTGTTTTCAGCATCAGTTGAAATGATCACATGGTTTTTGTCCTTCATTCTATTGATATGATATATCACATTGATTGATTTGTATATGGTGAACCATCTTTGTATTGCAGGGAGAAATCCCACTTGGTCATGATGAACGATCTTTTTAATGTTTTGTTGAATTTGGTTTGCTAGTATTTTGTTGAGGATTTTTGCATCAATATTCATCAGATATATTGGCCTGTAATTTTCTTTTTTTGATGTGTGTCTGGTTTTGGTATCAGGATAATACTGGCCTTGTAGAATGAGTTTGGAAGTTTTCCTTCTTCCACTATTTTTGGAATAGTTTAAGTAGGATTGGTATTAGTTCTTTAAATGTTTGGTAGAATTCAGTAGTGAAGCCATAAGGTCCTGGGCTTTTCCTTGCTGGGAGACAAGTTCTAATTAATATAATGAGTTATAGCTTCAATCTTATTACTTGTTATTAGTTTATTCAGGTTTTGGATTTCTTCATGGTTCAATCTTCACAGATTGTATGTGTCTGGGAATTTATCTATTTCTTCTAGATTTTCTGACTTATTGGCATATAGTTGCTCACAGTAGCCACTAATGATCCTTTGAATTTCCGTGATATTAATTGTAATGTCTCCTTTTTCATTCTTGATTTTATTCATTTGGGTCTTCTCCCTTTTGTTCTTTGTGAGTCTGGGTAAAGTTTTGTCAATTTTGTTTATTTTTTCAAAAAACCAACTTCTTGTTTCATTGACCTTTTGTATTGTTTTCTTCATTTCAAATTCATTTATTTCTGTCCTGATCTTTATTGTTTCTTCTAATTTTGGTTTCGGGTTTCTCTTGCTTTTATAATCTTTAAGATGCATTGTTAGGTTATTTATTGGAAGTTTTTCTTCTTTTTTGATGTAGGCACTTATAACTATAAATTTCTCTCTTAGTGCTGTATCCCATAGGTTTTGATATGTTGTGTTTCCATTATTTATTGCAATAAATTTTTAAATTTTCTTCTTAATTTGTTCATTGACCCATTGTTCATTTGGAAGCATGTTGTTTCCATGTGTTTGTATAGTTTCCAAAATTCCTCTTGTTATTGTTTTCTAGTTTTATTCCATTGTGGTCAGAGAAGATGCTTGATATTATTTCAGTTTTTCTGAATGTTTTAAGACTTGCTTTGTGGCCTAACATATCGTCTGTCCTTGAGAGTGATCTATGTGCTGAGGAGAAGAATGTATATCTTGCATCCTTTGGATAAAATGTTCCATAAGTATCTATTAGGTCCATTTGTTCCATAGTGCAGATTAAGTCCAGTGTTTCTCTGTTGAGTTTCTGTTTGGGAGATCCATCCATTGCTGAAGGTGGGGTGTTGAAGTCTCCAGCTATTGTTGTATTGACATCTTACTTTTTAACTCTAGTAATATTTGGTTTACATATCTGGGTGTTCCAGTATTGGATACACATGTATTTACAATCATATCCTTTTGCCGAATTGGCTCCTATATCATTAATGACCTTCTTTGTCTCTGCATAGTTTTTGTCTTGAAATCTATTTTGTCTAAGTATAGCTACTCCTACTCCTTTTTGGTTTCCATTGGAATATAAATCCTTTTCCATCCCTTTATTTTTAGTCCGTGTATCGGTGTCTTTACAGGTGAAGTATGTTTCTTGAAGGCAACAGATTGTTGAGTCTTGCTTTTTTTGAATCCATTTCAGCCACTCTGTGCCTTTTTATTGGAGAGTTTAGTTTATTTACATTCAGTGTTGTTATTGATAAGTAGCATTTACTCCTGCCATTTTGTTATTTGTTTTCTGGCTGTTTTATGGTCTTCTCTTCCTTTTTTCCTTCCTCCTTGTCTTTTTAGTGAAGGTGATTTTTCTCTGGTGACATGATATAATTTTTTGTTTTTTATTTTTTGTATCCATCTTTTTTTTTTTTTTTTTCTGAGATGGAGTCTCTCTCTCTCTGTTGCCCAGGCTGGAGTGCAGTGGTGTGGTCTCGGCCCACTGTAACCTCTGACTCCCGGGTTCAAGTGATTCTACTGCCTCAGCCTCCTGAGTAGCTGGGATTACAGGCTTGTGCCACCTCGCCTGCTAATTTTTGTATTTTCAGTAGAGATGGGGTTTTGTCATGTTGGCCAGCTGGTCTTAAACTCCTGACCTCAGGTGATCCACTTGCCTCAGCTTCCCAAAGTGCTGGGATTACAGGCGTGAGCCACAGCGCCCAGCCTATTGTATGATTTGAGGTTACTGTGAGGCTTGCAAATACTATCTTATAACCCATTATTTTAAACTGACGACAACTTTGATTGCATAAACAAACATGCAAAAGGAAAACTAATGAAAACTCTGCAATTTAACTTCATCTCCCCACTTTTTAACTTTTTGTTGTTTCTCTTTAGTTCTTATTGTCTTGAAAAATTCTATGTCTTTAAAAGTTGTAGTTATGATTTCCTGTTGGTTCATCATTAGCCTTTCTACTGAACATAGGAGTAGTTTACATAGTACAATTACAGTGTTATAATATTCTGTTTTTCTGTATGCTTAGTATTACCAGTGGGTTTGTACCTTCAGATGATTTCTCATTGCCTGTTAACATACTGTTCTTTCAGATTAAAGAACTCCCTTTAGCATTTCTTGTAGGACAGGTGTGGTGTTGATGACATCTCTCAGCTTTTGTTTATTTCTCCTTCAAGCTTGAAGGATATTTCTACCAGATACGCTATCCTAGGATAAAATTTTTTTTCCTTCAGCACTTTAAATATGTCATGCCACTCTCTCCTGGCCTGTAAAGTTTCCACTGAAAAGTCTCCTGTCAAACGTATTAGAGAGCTCCATTGTATGTTACTTGTTCCTTTTCTCTTGCTGCTTTTAGGATCCTTTCTTTATCCTTGACCTTTGAGAGTGATTATTAGATGCCTTGAGGTAGTCGCCTTTGGGCTAAATCTGCTTGTACTTGAATGTTGTTGATAACTTTCTCTAAGTTTTGGAAGTTCTCTGTTATAATTCTTTTGAATAAACTTACTACCCCATCTCTGTTTCTACCTCCTCTTTAAGGCCAATAACTCTGAGATTTGCCCTTCTGAGGCTGTTTTCTAAATCTTTTAGGTATGCTTCATTCTTTTGTCTTTTGTCTCTTCTGACTGTGTATTTTCAAGTAACCTGTCTTCAAGCTCACTAATTGTTTCTTCTGGTTGATCAGCTTTGTTATTAAGAGACTTTGATGCATTCTTCAGTATGCCAATTGCATTTTTCACCTCTAAAATTTCTGCCTGATTTTAAAAAATTATTTCAATCTCTGTTAAATTTACCTGATAGAATTACGAATTCATTCTCTGTGTTATCTTGAATTTCTTTGAGTTTCCTCAAAACAACTATTTTGAATTCTCTATCTGAAAGATTACATGATCTGTTTCTCCAGGATTGGTTCCTGGTACCTTCTTTTGTTCGTTTGATGAGATCCTGTTTTCCTGGATGATCTTGATGCTTTTAGATCTGGGCCTTGAAGAGTTAGGTATTTATTGTAGTCTTTGCAGTCTGGG